AAAAATGGTGGTGAGTGATAATAACAACTGCTAATGCTAATGCTAGATAACTCAGTGCTGCTACTCTAACCTGAAAAGTGGGGGAGGAAACTTGAATAATGTAACTTCTGCTGGCTTAGCTACTTAGCTAGCAGAGCGTAGTCATGACACCAGCAGCAGACTTGTTAGAGTAAACTGAGGGCAGGCCCTGTGAACATTTATCTAGCGTCCACACTAACTGTAGCATTGCCATTGACCATAGAGCGTATAAAGCATGCTTGTTGCTAGCGGTCTGGACAAACGAAGCCAATGCTGAAGTGTGTTTAACCTGCACTTTAACAGAAGGCGGTCTGATTGCGGTAGCTGTGGAGACACACCTCAAGACTTCAGAAACCAACAAATGACGTCCAACCTTTATATTGTTCCTGGTTGTGGCTTTATGATAAAAATAAACAGTATAAAATGTGGGTTTTTGTCACCTATTAGCTTTATTTAGCCCTTTTTTAAAGTATGAGAGTTAGTTCTTCAGCTGTCACCATGCTGCCTTTTTGGAACCAGGAGTTGCCATATTTGGCAAAAAGGGTTGCATGCTGTTTTCCCAGCTAACATTAGAAAGCTTGCTTAGCAAGCTGCTGCTACAAACTGTATGTCTGAAATGCACAGACTCAGTTAAACAATACTCAGTCCTTATACTGATAAATAACTGACTAATAAAACACTAGAATAAAACTGAAGTGCAAACTTTTTGCATTTTCTGTACCACACAGGGAGTCGTAATATTGGTCAGATTACTCAGCTGAAAAGCTCCAAAAAAAACACCAAGAGCACAAATCAGTTCATTCCCTGAATGGATGGTTGGAGTAAACTAAGTCTGCACTTCGTTAATGCTCGAAAACCCCTCCAATATACCTGAACTAAAACAATTCTGCACAGAAGAGTGGGACAACAGTCCTCCACAGTCATGTGAAAGACTGGGTGCCAGTGATCACAAAAGTTTTATTCTTTTAAATTAAATCATGATTTAAAAACTGCATTTTGTATTTCTTCGTCTTTATCTTTGTCTAATATAAAAATGTCTTTAATGATCTGAAACATGTAAGTGTGACAAATATGCAAAAAAAGAAAACCAAAGATAGTTTTGCACAGCACTGTGTGTGGCATGTTCTTTCATAAAGAATAAATTATGTTTGTTTATATGAGTAAATAAGAGCATGGGTAATTAAACCAGCCTTAGAGCTCATTTATGGAACTAACAGCTAGATTTCTGTAACTAATGGGCTTCATATTTCTCTACTTTGTCGTAAACAGTCTAATTTAACAAAAAGTAATCTGTTTTTTTTCTTCATATATATATATATATATATATATATATATATATGTATAAAGAAAAGAAGTGATTTTTTTGGGGCCCTGCAGATGTGAACGCTGCGCTCTGATAACTCACAGGACGAGCTGTTACAGTGCATATGTTCATTCATGACTGCATCTCTGCATCTCGGTCGCATCAGACTGTTTTACCTTGACAGCTAGAAGTGCACGAGCAGCGATTGATCGAGGCGGCGAGGATTCCTGCCAAGAAAAAAAAAAGGCGAGGGGAGCTGAAAACGAAGAGGAGGCTGATGAAATGAAATGATGAAACAGATGAGGTTTAAATCAGAATATTTTTATGCTGGCGCTCGGCGGGAATTCCTTACTTCAACTTCCCAGAGTGCATTGCTGTGTGGCCTTTTCAATAATGTAAAGGGGGACAGACAAGAGATAAAATGAGAGAGGAAACGATTTCCTGGCACTGTGGGAGCCCCCTCTGTGACATTTACCTCTAGTGGCACCCTCAATGTGTGTGTGTGTGTGTGTGTGTGATGGCCCCGTGCCACGCTAATGATGCCCCCCTCTGCCACGCACAGTCGAAGCACAAAACTCTCCCGCCAGCGATGCCACACGTGTCCTTTAGAGTCACACTGGAAGGAAAGAAGGAAGGAAGAAGGAGGTAATAGCCAAGATGGAGCATGGAGGAGTTGAAAAGGAATTGTGCGAACAATATTTCCATCCACAGATGGAGCTGAGGAGGAGCACAATAGAAGGGCAACAAATAAAAGGAAGAGAAAAGGTTAGCGGCGAGAGGAGGCCGCTTTTGTCAGCGAATGGCAGAGAAGGAGCAAAGGGGGGATCGCCTCGTGCGAGCTATCAGCTCCACCTGTTACTATTTCATACTTCATTAAGCGTCTCTCCTATTTGAAGCGGCGGGTGGTGTTCTCCGTCTTCGCGGGGTGTCCCCTACCCCCCACCTGGACACATGGCATCTCATTACCTCTCTGCTCCAGCTCAGGGCCTGCACACAGCTGGAGTACGAGCTCTGAAGATAGATGAAACAGAAAAACCCTCTGAATGTCTTTAAAAAGACGGAGCCTACTGAGAATGATGTGTTTGCCTGGCATTATTATCCTGTTGCAAGGTCCACCTTCGGTTCAGCGGAAGCACTCGGACAGATGGCGTCACGTATGCTCCGAGCGCTCTTTGATGTTGACCGCAGACCGAAGAATTGTTGACCGCAAGCCGAACGATTTCTGAGGCAAACTTTCCCACCTCACGATCGGTGTCTGATTCTTGTGCTGAAAGGCTGTCTTTGATTAGTTAATCCCATTGAGCCAATAACCAGATCGCCTCTGCTACATCAAATATAGGCGTTTCTTTCTGATTGCAGATGCATGCACTTTGACACCAAATCTAACAGTTATCTGCAGATCTTCTGTCGGGGTTTTTAGACACTTTGTTTTTCTCACGCTGAATTTCCTGTGGTGGCCAGTGCTGTTTGAAATTTGCACCGCTTTTAGACGGTGAGTCTCAGAGTGACATTATTTGGTTCAACTGTCAGACTCGTCCACAACCACAACCAGTGGCAAAATGTAGTGACGGTGTAGGCGTAGGGCGGTTGCAGCTTCGATGGTAAAGCGGGTCATCTACCAAATGGAAAGTCCCCGGATCCTCCTGTCCATGTGTCAAAGCATCTTTGGCCAAGATACTGAACACTGTGTTGCCTCAGATGCATCCATCGGAGACTAAGTGTATGAATGTTAGAAGTGCTTAGGTATAGATAAGATCAATGTGTGTGTGACTGGGTGAATAATAATACTTTATTTTATATTTTGTATTAGTAGAAAATAGTAGTGAAAATAGAGTAGAAAGGTGCTATATACACCTAATATAAACAGTCCTGAGAACAAGGAATGGACTCCACTCGACCTGTGACAGCGTGCTGTGGTATCTGCACCGAGATGTTAGCAACAGATCCTTTAAATCCTCTCAGCTGCGAGGTGGAGCCTCCATTGATCAGATTTGTTTGTCCAGAACGACCAAAATAGACAGTCCTTTAAACAAGATGTTAGTTAACCTAATGTTTGCTTATGAAAAGTTCCTTAAAAATGATTTTAAAACTAGAACTCAGTCAAGGCGTAGATCCCTGGGTGGCTCGGTTGGGTACAATCACCTAAAACATGAAAGATCTGTGCTTTGAGACTGTGAGAGAATCTCTGGGAGGTTTGCATCAGGAAGGGCATCCAGCTTAAAAAGGATCTGTGAAAATCAAATACATTGATCTACCTCCACAACGACTAAAAGTTATAAAGTTAGCATCTTCTCCAGCTAATCATTCAGTGTGTACTTCAAGATAAAGCTGGTTACTCCTGGTTTTAGTAGCATGATCTGCAAATTTAGCCCAGTCTGTTTTTACCTTTGAAGCTGCCTGGAGCCACTGTCTGCAGTAACTGCGCTGCAAACTTCATGCAGTCGCTGAAGAATGTGCTGGGTGTGGTAGCGTTAGCTTAAATCCTTAGCATCCAGGACAAAAAAGGCTTTAAGTGCAGAGGCAGACTTTACCTGTGAAACTAAGCACACCGCATATGATGTACTTACTCCCAAACCCCCTTTTTGCGTGGCAGGAATTTAAAAGCCTAACAGGCGAGCTGCGGCTTGCTTACAAACAGCTGCCATTCAAGCGGTGAGATTTAAGGAGCAGGTACTTCCACGTGAATGTGAAACTCCACTGAATTGCAAAGTAGAAAAGCTGCTGAATGGATGGATGATTTCTCAATTCCTCAAATTCCTTAATTTAAGAAAGTACACACAATGAAAGGATTTGTTTTAATATCACAAATTCAATGGACACAAATTCATAATGCTGTCCTGAATTCATCCAACTAATACTGCAAACAGAAATATATTTTAGTATCCTCATAACAAAGAAAACAACTTTTACAACTCGGTCATTATCTGACTCGGTCATGTCTCAAAGATGACCCGGTGTCAGGAGCAGATGAAAGGAGGTCACAGCTCTGTGTCGTTGTTTGTTTACGCAGAGGGGAGAGGCGGCTGACTGGTCCACTAAATCACCTCCCTGCCAGCGGTGGTGACAAACTACCAAATGAAGTGAGAAAGTGAAGGCTCTGTCACAGATTAGGGCTGCCAAGAGTTTAAAAAGAAGACTGAGAAAACCTGGAGATGGACAGAAAACCAGCGACGAGTCTAGCTGATAAGAAAAATAATCCGGACGCCACAGATGTGCTCTGTGCTCATCTGCATTCAAACTTTGTAGCTTTCACTGCTTTATAAACTGCATTGTGAGGTAAGACTGTGAGTCATAAATCGATATAACAACACACATATAAATGCTCCAAACCTTAGAGGTCTGGACCCTGCAAGGAGTCACAACAGTAATATCACAGCTGGGTTAAAACATTTGCTCATCTGTACTGCAGTTCATTTTTTAAAATCTCCCCAGTTTTTCACAGTTTTCAGAGCTAAATGATACTATAATACCATAATAATGGTCTGAAATTAGACTTTACATCTAAGACAACTACCAAAACAAAAACAAAAGGTGGGGTTGCAAGCCCAGAGAAGAGCGCTGACTCTCCTTGTGCGATGCTGACCTCGTGTGGATCACACGCAGCACTGCGACCCAGTGGCTTGGCTCATATTAAAAGCAGCACTTAAAAGGCAGTGTGAGCGCTCCTTTCTGGGCCTCCTTAATTCTGTGACTCCTGCCTGGTAGTTTCAGCCTGCCTCAGCAGCAGTTCTCTAGCCAGATCCGGCCTACCGATCTTGGCCAAGTAGCGAGCGAGCAGAGAGGCCTTGGGTTGGTTCGGGACGGCGGGCAGCCCTCTCCTCCACATGGCCAGGATGGTGAAGGCACGGGAAGAGAGGCCGCCGCTCCCGGCTCGGGTCGTCACCAGCTGAGCGGTGCTGCGGCAGAGACGCAGGGAGAGCGCCAGCAGGGCCGTTTCCTCCTCTGAGAGCTCCTCGGACAGCCAGAGAAGAAGAGAGTCTGAGAGGGAACCTGGTTGGATGGGCAGGTGATGGATAAATGATGCATTTTTTAGTATCTGGAGCTGAGACAGCATTAAAGAGTGTGGCAAAGAGACAATGAATGGATCGCGGAGCAAGCGGGCAGAATTTCACCCACCTGTGTCCTCACAGAACTTCACCTGGGCTGTAATGGGCCGAGTAAGGTTTCTCACTTTCTAAAATGACATAAAACAGTAGCATTCTTTTATTTGAGTCTTTTACATGAAGCATAATGTTTCATTTTTGGGGGGTGAGGGGGTGAAGTCAGACCTTTACCTTGGGTAAAGTCAGAGACAGCTTACAGACGGGATCTCCCAGAAGCTTCGTGTCCTTCAGGACAGCTTTGTCATCCCGCCACTCCAGCTGACTTCTGGTGACCTTATAAAATATGGCTGTGCCCTTGTAGTGAGGAGAGCTGTAGTTTCCAAATAGGTCCACCTCAGTCAGATGCACTAAGAGGTGATTCTTCCTCTGGCTGTGGAAGGTGATGCGCTCATGCGTGGCTTCATTTTTGTTGGTTTGAGCAGCGGCTGCAGAAAAATAAATATGCACACATTTAAAAAGAGGCCTGATGCAATTATATGAAACTGCTTTACTAACTGAATTTGATGCTAACTGAATTTTCTAGGTTATGTTTGTAACATTTTCCTGTATTAAACTTGTTTACTGCCAGTTTGTGAACAGAGGGTAAAGTCACTTAAAACTTAGACCTTAGGGCTGACTTGTTGGACTCTGAAGTGCCTCTCCTTTGTTCCCTGACACATCTAGATAACAAGCAACTTCAACTCAGGCTAGCTTAGAAAAGGACCAAGCGGCCAACAAATGAGCTCCCAGTGCAACTCAGACTTCAAAACAAACCTCACATAAAAATAGAAACATATCTGAGTTCAGATGGGTTCAGATGATATTTTAAAAGCAACAGCGTTACCTTAGCTTGGGTCCTCACTATTTGCTATGTTAGGTAGCAAGTGATTTGTGTGAGTAGGTAAGCTAATGCTAGCCAACATTAGCCAGAAGAAAGACAGTTTTATCAAGCAAAGCCATGGAGAAAGTTAGGGCTGTGGTGTATAAAGACAGTATAATAGATGGTCTTAAAAGTGAAGTTCATTAAACTGCTGCTCCTATTTTCAAAAGGATTCTCCGTGCTGTAGAAGTCTATCCCTCGGACTTGACTTTAGTCAGGTTATTTTACGTGATACTTACTAACAATGATTCCATTTTGCAAATTTTGGTTAAAATGGAGAGACGTTTATGGGAAAATGGCCTTTCAGCTCCACTGTACTATGACCTCATTAAACACTTTAATGAGACCGTGGCCTCAGTAACTAGTTTCGGGTGTTATTGAACAGAACATGATTTTAATTTTATAAAGTGAACCAAACTTTTCCTTTGGGGTTGTGTCAAGAAGGGCATCTGGCATAAACCTGCCAAGTCAAACATGGAGATGTTTGTGGCGACCCCCTCATAGCATGACAGCAGCCAAAAGTAGATTTAAATATTCAACTTTATTCAATTTAATTCAAATTTATTTATATAGCGCCAAATCACAACAACAGTTGCCTCAAGGTGCTTTATATTGTAAGGTAGACCCTACAATAATACATACAGATAGAAACCCAACAATCATATCACCCCCTATGAGTAACCACTTTGGCGACAGTGGGAAGGAAAAACTTCCTTTTAACAGGAAGAAACCTCCTACAGAGCCAGACTCAGGGATGGGCGGGGCCATCTGTAGCCATCGGTTCGGATGAGAGAAAAAAGACAGGCTAAAAGACATGCTGTGGAAGAGAGACAGAGTTTAATAATAAGTGATGATTCCATGCATAGTGAGTGAAAAAATGACTGAAGAAGAAATACTCAATGCATCATGGGAATAGAGTTAAAAGCTAGGACGGAGTAGGGTATACTGGGGCGGGCCTATATCATGATTGACATTTACAAGATTCTACAGTATGAGCACGTAGCGTCGATAAGATCCACCTTTTGCTTGTCTCATCCAGTTTAAAATATCATATACACACAGCAAGTCCATCTTTTGTATACAGTCTACCATATATATAGATATACATTTTAACCATAGATTTTTAAAATGTTTTAAAGCCAGTAAGTAAACATGTGTTTAACATCGAGTAATCCATCTATCTCTTCCAGTTTCAACACACCAAGACGGCGTAAACACTCATCTGGAGGCTTCTAAACAGGCAGTATCCCCATCTTTTGTACTGTCTGCTGTATTGTACCGTGGGAAACAAAAGAGGAAACATAAGAGTGTTGTACTGTTGAAGCATTCAGCTGGCTGTACAAACATATCATTCATCCACTTTATTATGTGGTTACTGTCTTACGTGGTGACCAGGGGATGGAGGCTAAACCGGTTTAGACCTGGTGCTGCAGCAACTGTTTCACATTTCCCAGTATATCTTTCTTTTTTACTGCACTAGATGTGCAGTGCTCCAGCTAACCACGCAATAACAATAGCGTACAAGGATTTGCACTTTTAAATCGAGGCCTTTTTCAGTGTCACCCGCGTCCAGCCAAAGTAAACAGGCCTCTTTTAATAAGAACAATGACAACACAAGAGCGAGCAGCTGTGTTTGAGGCTCTAAAAGTTGAACATCGGGATTATTTTTCTAACAAATAAACAAAAAAAAACCCAAACAAACAAGTTAAGCATGTATGATGTTTAGAGTGTTCACTATGATAGATAAAGCTGATTATTTTTTCAGATTCACTGATAGAAACCATTGAATTAATTAATTAATTAAAATAAATGATGACCCAATCCTTGATGAAAAGCCAACATTAGACCCGTGAGAAGCATAAATGTATAAAAAGATGAAGATTCTCTTGTGTTTCTTTTGTCAGCTTATAATTATTTTCCTTAAACCACGTATGAAGCTTCTGTAGGAGAAGCCAGTGAGCCAGCTTCACACTTTACCTGTGCAGGTGATGTTGCCGGTGAAACGCAGGAGAAGCTGATCTGCCTCACGCATCGAGATCTCCAAGGAGGTCTCCACCGGGTCGCTGTAGCCCTGAGCTCGCAGCCTGTGCAGCTCCCAGCTGAGGTCTCTGCCGGGCACAACGGCCACCAGGAGGGCGCGAGGCTCGTCTCGGCTTCGCAGGAGGACGACGGTGACGGCGTGGCAGCAGACCGACTCCTCCAGCTCCTCGGCCAGGCAGGCGAGGTGACAAGGGCGCAGCGGGGAGAGGAGACGAAGCACGAGCAGTCTGAGCGGAGAAGCAGACGGAGGACAAGTTAAGGAGTCTAGCTCTGGGGAAAGATTAGATTGCCGCTGAACAGGGAAAAGACTTTGTTATCGCAGGCGGGAATACAGATGTAATAGACTTAAGACAGAATGGAGAATTCATGAAAACCTACTGCACACATTTTTTTTTCTCCCCTGAAGAAGCTGTTTTAGATAAGAAAGAAGAGAATTATAACTCGGGATGAAAATGAGAATCCAACGTTATCACAGCTGGGCCTATTCTTTTAAACAGGTGACTAGAGTAAGACTTAATTTTCTCCTTCTTTATAATGTCTTTAGGGGTTTCTTAACACTTTAGTCTTGCCATGCTGTTCATGTGCGTATGCTCTGACACGTTAAAGCCTGGAATCTAAAGCATGTAGCTGCACCCATCCCCCCTTTATCCATGCGGCATTGCTTTAAGCCCCTTATGTAAAGTAAAAGCTTTCTGTAAGTCTGGTTTGTTGTAGCGTAGTGTAGCATTTATCTTTTGTTTTTATTTTATTTTTTAATGCTGGCACTTAAGACATGGACGTGATGTTGAGAATACATGAAAGGCACCGGTGAGGTACAGCAGAGCCGTGAGTGAGGAAATAATTTGTTTTCTCCTGTTTGAAGCAAAGGAAATGTTAATCGCTCTGGAAGTTAGTGCAACATAACCTCACTAAACCAAATTAACTCGAGGATTGTTGCTTACGTTCGCTGCCATGTGAGTAAAGCGAAATAAAGAAACATCTGGGTTGTTGAAAAAGAGAAAACATCTGGGAGAAAACGTCTTGTTGATGACAGAGGTCAGCAGGCAAGAACAAGACTGCTTTGAGTTGACAGGAAGGCAACAGCAACATCAAATAACCACCCATTACAACCAAGGTGTGCAGAAGGGCATCTCTGAATGTGCTGCACAAAAATGCCATTATATAATATAAATGTATTTCTGCTGCAGGGGTCCCACAGCTGCAAAGTTTTTCCTGCACAGCTGCACAATTTAAGCCTCATCTCTTACTGTCACTGTGTGGTCAGGGGGACTGTTTTCTACGCCATCTACATGGTTGGGGGACTCCTGATTGCAGCCACTGTTGACTTGGCTGTGAGGACAGCTCATAACCCCGACAACCTGCTGCGCCTGTCACACACTCTCATCAAACTCGTAGGCAACAGGTGTCAAAAATATGTTGTAAGAAAGTCTTTTAAGTCCAGTTCTAATAAGAATCTGCATGCATAGCTACTCTAGTAGAGTCCAAGAGAGCTTTAAACACCACTGATCCCATTTTTAGTTAAATGTACTGCCAAATCAAACACACTTTTACTCTATTCTAATTATGTGCTCCTTCATATCTTGCAGGTTACGTCTTTGGTAAAACAAAAACTGAAACATCTGCACTTCACTGAGAGCTTCGGGAAAAACTGTTCCTCAGTTTGTGCTGCTTACATATACATAATTGGGACAAATGTACATGTTTTTTAATAGACTTCCACATGTTTCCAGTCTCAGCAGTCTCCTTGACGTGACAAGACTGAGCGAAATTGACTATTTTAAGGTTTTACAGGGAGATCTCGGTTCCCCTGACAATCCAACAAACCTGGAGTCAAAGCCTGCCAACTGGATCTAAAAAAAAAAGGTACAAAACGACATGTTTCATGTTTTAGATTTCCTTAAAGACGGCACTGCCTTATTTCTTTTTGCAGTCATTTTCAAATGTCATTTGTTTTGTTCACAGTTTAATATCCCACGTTTGGACGTGTCTACGCTTTTGACTAATACGAAAAGTTTCACTTCAGGTAGCTCTAGCGTGTGAACTCTTCTGCATTCAGGTGCAGGATTTATTACATCTTCCTGTGTTGTTCGAAGCGCCAGCGAATTCTGAAACTGCACATTAGAGCCAACGACATCAGGCTGAAAGTGTTCAGGCCTTCGAATAAACTACAGTGGCTTGTTGAGTTTGGCAGAAAGGCACATGCAAGGGGAGATATAGTAAGAAATGATCACCGTTTACTTGAAATCTTGTTGGAGAATGCTGTTAGGAGCCTGCTTTTGAACACAGTATTATCTTTTTCAGGTATTTATTTTGCTGGATGGACAAACAGGACAAATCGGCCTTGGCTTTGAAAGAAACGATGCTGCAAATGAGCGCCGCCCGACAAGTTTCGCTCTGTGGGTATCTGCTCTGTCCGTGGCTCTGCTTTGGATGCTCCTGCCTCACATTGCTCTTTGTGCAGTGATGTGGTTCGGCTGGAGAGTACGACAACGCATCAGCTGAGTCAGCCGCTGTCACAGAGATGCTAATCTACCGTAACTCTTAACGAATAGGCTCAAACTTCTTCGTGCAACCTCAAATCGTTGCTTATCCCTCCAACATGACCGAAAACCATCTTACATTTGGTTTTACCTCCACACAGGTGGCTTCAGAGCTTAAAGTGCATTTCTAATAATTACCAGCACACTGTCTCCTCTCTGCTTCATATCAAATAATAATCACTGCTTATTCTGCAGATCCCATTCATCATTTTATTGTTCCCAACAACTCAAACACCTCTCTACTGGCTTAAAAAAACCCCCCCAATATGTATATATATTAAACGTGTGCAATGTAGACTGTACACAGAAGATGGACAATGGTTGATGTCATGACTACTGAAACTGCACACTCATTGGCTACTGACTTGCCAATCACAAATCATCAGCCAATGAGCCTATTCTAGATAATCCTCCTTTCTGACACTAAATAACTCAAACACAACAGAATTGACGTTTTAGTCAAAACCAGTGGCTGATCTCATAAACTCAACAGGAAAATGTGGACATGGGTACAGACAGGAAGCTCACAGACTTGTGGTTTTTCATTTGACATCATGTGAACATTGTTCAGCAGCTGTCTGCCAAAACCTCAATAGGACTGGAAGCCTTTATGCAGTCATCAGCGTCATGCCTTGGTGCCCATTAAAGCCAGTTCAGAGTTAAGACACTCACTCATTGGCTTCATTTTCCAGTCCCAGGAGGAGCATCCATCTGTTTTATGTGTAGTCGATGGCAGACATGTTTTTATTTACCTCCTTGCTGTCCTGCACTACAATTGACTTTGTTGTCTTTTTAAATAAAGTTAAACTGCCTATTTCCATTTGGAGGTGTGATTATTGTAAGAGGAGAAAACGTGGTGGTACAAACCTGTCAAAGTTCTCCATCAGGTCAAAGCACACCAGTCCTTTCTGCAGGCTCCTGACGGTGACTTTATCCATGACACTCCACTGTTTGTCCCTTGAGCCCAGAACAACCAGCGACTCATTGGACATTTCCTTGGATTTCACAGAGGTGTCCATGAATCTGGCATAGAAACAAAACCTTTTAAGATCCCTATTTATATGATGCTGTGACACATATATAATATATTTTAGTTCAAGGACATCTGTGTCACCTCAGTCTGTGGGAAGGTGAATGATCCCATGGGGGAGAATCCCTGACAGGTTGACTTTGTTGGTCTTGTTGGTTCTCTGTTTGTCCCCTTGTTGCTTTCTTTTTTGCAGGATTTGGGGGACATGGAAGTGTGACTGTGAGGGGTCTTCTCAGGGGCCTCGAGGTTGGGTGGGTGAGGTAGAGCAGCGGGCTGGTAGACACCACCGAATGATAGGCATAATTTCTGGACTTGACAGAAGCCAGGAGCACGGCGTCTAGCGGCTGGATCTGAAGCAAACAAGGAAACAGCTGTTCTGCTTGATTTAGGCAGCAGTTTAGACAAAAGCCGTTTGATATGAGAATTTGTCTATTTTTTCTGTTGTTCTATCAAAAGAGAGCTGTGCAGAGACGGAGGTGGTGGATTTGACGTAAGATCAAGGAACAAACTGCTCGTACACCAGTGTTTGGTCTCAGGAGTCAATTGAGAAATCGGCCACAGCTGTTTGTGCCTCACAGCAAACATCTGTGAAACCTGCAAATCAGAAGCAAGCTTTCTGTTACTTCATCATTTCTCCTCTCTATTTTCATCCGAGTTTTGGAATCATTTCAAAGGCTTCGTCCCAAGGAGCCCTTCCTATCTCTCAATGCCAACCAGACCTCACTTCTGCAACTCTTTTCTTTACTTCTACTGAAAGTAAAGTAGGAGAAAAGGGGGTAATGATCAGGGTATTGTCATACCGTGGTTTGTGCTATTACAGGTGCAGTAAAGGATCCTGGGAGGTAGTTCAGACAAATTCGGGGGTCCATGGGGAGTTTTAGTGACAACCCCTTCCTGGGAATGGTGTAGTTTTCTAGTTTTAAACAGGAAACCACTGCAAAAAGACCCACAGAGTACACCTTCACCTCTGCAAATGAGCCCTAACAAAGAGAGAAAGAAACCACGGCAAAACATTTGAACAATCTTTCACCAATACAGAAGTCATACAGAAGTTAGTTCTGCTAAATGTGGTACTCTAACCTATTGAAACATTCAGTGTACTTACTGTAGTTTTTCATGCAAAAAAAACTCTACTCAGTGTTTCTATGTTTTTTAGGTTAAGAATAAGTACAATTACAGGAGTTGCAATTGTTACTTTTTTGCACTCATGTAAGATACAGCCACCGTCTTTCATTTCAAAGATTTTACATATTGAGTTATAATACAACAAAAACTTGGCAAGTCTTAAAATGATGTAATTATAACCACAGATAAACAAGAGCATGACTTATTATACCACATCATTATTTATTTAACAAAATCTAAGCCAAATATGATAAACAGTGCATGAAAAACTACAGTAAGTACACTGAATGTTTCAATAGCTTAGAGTACCACATTTAGCAGAACTAACTTCTGTATGACTTTATTAGTCTCTCACATCGCTATGGAGCAATTTTCGCCTACTCTTCTTTCAAACCTCGCTTCAGTTCATTGTGGTTTGTGGGCAGGTTTATTTGCGTACAGCTCTCACCACAGCATTTAAGTCAGGTTGAGATCTGGTCTTTAACTAGGTCATTGCAGTAGCTTTATTCTTTTCTTTTTCAGCCATTCTGTTGTAGATTCGCTGCTTTTCTTGGCATCACTGTCCTGTTGCAGGACCCAGTTTCAGCCAAGCTTCAGCTGTCAGACAGACAGCCCTACATTTGACTCTAGAGTACTTTGGTATACAGAGGGGTTCATGCTTTACTCAATAAGTGCATGTTGTCGAGGTCCTGTGGCTGCAAAACAAACCTAAGTCATCACCCCTCCACCACCGTGCTCCACCATTGGTATGAGGTGTTTATGCAGATATGCTGTGTTTGGTTGTCTCCAAATGTGTTGCTGTGCTTTAAAAACAAACATCTGTACCAGAGTTCTTGTGGTTTATTCAGATACAACTTTGCAAACCTAAGTTGTGCTGACATGTTCTTTAAAACAACAGTTCAGTTTTTTTATTTTAACTCATGTAATTGTATTTATTCTTAACCAAAGATATACAGAAACACTGGGAATATGTTTATCTAATTAAAATGTAACAGTTTTGATTTGGGTTAAAACGCCCCAAAAATAGTAAACGGTGTACCACAAGGCTCTATGTTAGAGCCTCTTCTGTTTTCAGTTGTTCCATACTTTGTTCTTTATATACATGCAGCATGAACCTTTTATAGAAGACTTTTCTTCTAACTAAGAATTTATTTATAACTAAGAAGAAAAAGGTTCAGTATACAGCTCCAGCTTATATTAAGCTTCCAGTAAAATAACATAAAATAAGCATTACGCAGGAGAAAATTATGTTATTTGATCAATATTTGAACAAATATTTGTAAGTAAGGGAAAACCTTACTTTCTGTCCTCCATACATGCCCTCTGTTGTTATGGGAGCGATGTAGCTGACCCTCTTGTCCTCGTCTATTATCTTCACAGCGACATCTCTGTAGCTGCTGCGATGGCGTGCTTGGAAAGGCACAACCACAGTAAGAGGGAAATTAAAGACTGCTCCATGTTCAACTTTGACCCGGATCACTCTGCTAAGCAACTCCTCTGAGCCAGTCACCATCAGGCAGCTCAGGGCATCAGCCACTTCACACCTCAGGACTTTAGCTGCACCTGCAGGCGCTCTGATAAAGCACGCGTCCGGTACATCAGAATGGCTGCCCTCCAGCTGAGCAGTGAGCCTAAATGATGTTTTTAAAAACACATAAATGCATATTTTTAGAAAACGATTCATGATTGAAATAAAGTTTGACTGTTTGTTTCTTCCTTTTATTTTTATTTATTTATATTTTTTGCATGCTTGCATTTGCTCTTAATGCTTTTAAGTAGAAATATTATTATCTTGATTTTTTTTTCAAGTGCAAACATATTAAGACTTGCTGAAATGCCGGAGCATGCACTTTCCATATCAGCTCTCTCCAGACTTAGCCTCTCCCTCGGATCTTAATGTTCCTGATTTTTTTGGCTTTTAGATGTATGTGTGCAGTGGCCTGACAGTGAACTGTGCGAAACAGCTGGCTGTGTGGAGGCCAGGAGGTCAAAAATGTGTGCGACTTGTGATAAAGCACTGCAGAGAGTTTGTCCTGTATCAGTGAGCAGGAGAAATGAGTGGAAGGAAATCATGTCCAGACTCGCAATCATCCCAACGGAGGGCACAGAACAAAATACTCAACATCTTTTTGTTTTCATTTTTGTTTTAGGCGTGTGGATTACTGATGTTACCAGTATGTTGTCAGCAAGTGGAAGAAAATATTGACTACTTTCTTTGTTTACAACAAACGTAAAATGATGTGCTACCTCACGAACCGTGTGTAAACTGACACGGAAGAAGTTTCGATTTCATTATGCTTGAATAGCCTCATCAAAAAAACACAAAACTGACTGCGAACATCATAGAGCTTTAAGCAAAAGACCACAAACATGCAAGATGTTGCATATTACACTGACAGGAAGTGTGGGTTAAACATAAATACTTATGTGTTAAGAGTTTAAGTACGGTGAGCTGCGATGATTTAGTCAGCTTACCCTACAGTAATCCATTTTCTTTTTCTCTTTGCGCTCTCATCTTCCTTTTCAGTCTCCTCTAGTAACTCAGTCTCAGAGTTAACAGATTCCTCCAGAACGTCTCTTGCTTGACCTTTGACATGTGATTCTGCCCCGTTGTCACAATTAGAACCACTGAATGAGTCCAGTGTTTGTTCAGTGTCTGCCGATGTCTCTGTACGCCTTCGATCAGCTCCGTCCTCAATCACCCGTTCGTGACCTGAGTCAGACTCGAGCCGATCGGGGGAGTTTAGGTGATTCTTAACGTCTTCAGGTTGCGCCGAAGTGTCTGTGTCTCTGTATTCTCGACGCGCTTCACCCGCGATCGAGGTCTTATCTACAGATAACTGCTGAATCGCTGCATCCAGCTTGATAATGATGGAGCTTATTTTGTCGATGATCTTCTCTACGTCCTCTCCAACACTCAGAAAAATGTCACTGACGGAGCCCGAACAGGGCCTGCATCCTGTATCCTCTGAAAAAAAAAGTTAACTTTTACTTGAGTTTTTAAATTAGTTACACTTTGTTACACACCCATCACTGAAAGCCTGCATGTTTTTATGTCATTTCTTTAAATAGTCGTCGGGAATAGTTCTCCAGACTTCCTGAAGGACATTCAAAGCTCTTCTTTGGATGTTTCTGCCTTTTTTTCTATTCTCTGTGTAGATGATCCCGCACACTTCAATATTGTTATCCATGACTGATAATGCTCCACTGTGTGTTTTTCCATCCAGGTATATTTTTTCAGCATTGGCAGTGTGTTTGGGATCATTGTCATACTGAAAAATGAACCTGCTGCCAATCAGATGCTTTCCAGATTGTGTTACATGGTGGATAAAAATCTGATGGGACTTTTAAAATCAAATTATGTGTTGCTGCAACAATCTACTAGTAACAAAGTGCCTAAAGATTGAAAGTTTTTCTGTTATGTGTAGACACAACGCTATCTTTGTACTTGAATGGTTCATAGGTTCGTTCTTTCCTCTAAAAATGGTCAGGTACAAGGACTGGACTGAAAAATAGTATAAAAAAGGACCCAGAGTCCAAATAGACACTTTGAAAGAACCTTCAGAGACCCTGGAGAGCTTGAGGGGGATATGAAGGTGGAGGTGTGCAACTTTGAGAGTGAAATTTAATAAATGAAAATAAATACATTGTTACTTCTGAGGCTCTGAGAATTCCACAATTTAATTTCGTTTTCTATTTGAAGTTTATTTTGTCGTCAGAGATGAGAAGTAACTTTTTTATTTTCTGGCATCTGTACTTTTACTCCCTACGTGTTTAAACAAATGTCTGTACTTTCTCCTCTTACGCTTTCAAAGCAGACTCATTACTTTTGGTTTATCTATAAGTTCGTCTATAGGGTTTATTTCAGGGGTTAAAGTGGGCGGGAAGGACTGAATGTATCCGTTAGTCGTGGTTGTGGTACTTCAGCATTTAGCTAGTGCTACAGAAAAGGAGGAAGCATGAAGAGAGTGTTATTTTAAGTGGCAGGCCATTTCAAATACATTTTTTCTATCAGCTCAACAAACTTCAGGAAACACACAAACTGTTTGTGTGCAGGTTGTCGTACACTGCGTCTGCAAGCTAAAGCTCCAGCTGCTGTATTTTGCAGGGGGATAAAAGAGTGAGAGCTAACTTCACAGAGATGGAGGAAGATAAAAAAAGACAGGACAGGAGAAGAAGAAGAGAGAGTAGATTTAAAGGTAAGGACAGCTCAGTGGTGTTTGATAAACTCCAGATGTATGATGTCATAATTTGAATTGAATCTGTATATGATGTTTTGATAAATGATGCATTTTTTTTTTTTGTCGTGAAATATCCTAAAAAACAAACTAACTTTTTGATACTCAAAGGTTGCATGAAAATACTGAGCAGCTCAGGATAAACAGGTTAGCTTGCATCAATGTGGTGAATTCCCATTGTGTTGAACTGGTGCACAGTGGCTGTGGTGGTCATAGTCAGATTTAGGTTATATCAAGTGTTGCAGAGATGAATTTGCATTTACGCAGACGATGCTTAGATTCATTCACTGAATTCCAACTTTATACCAACTGCATATAAAGTATAGAGAGTATAGTATCAGTGATATGGGACAGCTGTGAAGCAAGCAGCAGGTCAGCTGATCACACTAAGAAAATCTACTGAAGTTCATATTAGAAAGTATTGTGAGTTGTGATTCTTTTCCCTATGCTGAGCCACTACACAGATTTAGTGCTCCTCCACCTGCTAAATCGCACTTTCACCCCTGACTGTTCTCAGTGTACTGTTTAGCAATGGAGGCAAAGTCTCCCTCTACAATGTTGGCAACAGAAAATAGTTATTTGTTTAAATTTTCTGTCACTGATTGTGTCCTAGATAACAGATTCAAGCTGAGTACATTCATTAAAGCTACAGATCGGGATAATGTTTGTATTCTTGTACACTAATATTATTTTATTATTATATTAACACAGAGAAGGTTTAGTTACCTCTGTACAAGAATGGTTAGAATCGTCCTCCAATGAGCTACTTTTACTTTCTTACTTTGAGTACATTTCTGAGCCTGTACTTTTTTACTTTTGCTTGAGTAATGACGTTGAATCAGTACTTCAGCATTTACTGGAGTATTTTTAAACACAGGTATCTGTACTTCTACTTAAGTAAAGAACATCTGTACTTTTGCCACCTCTGCTTGTCGTAGATGGATGCTGCTGAGCTCCACCCCCTGGTGGAGAGCTGCTGAGCGTGGAGGAACATCGTCTGAGGGCTTGTTTCCATGCTCTGAGTCTGCATGAATGAAAAACACTGACTTCCCTCAGCACTCCCAGAGCTCTCTTTTTGCAGTCTCCCTCCTGCTGCTCTTTACTCCTTCGTCTTCTTTCATCCTCCCTCTCATCTTCTCCTTCTTCCATCCTCCCACCCATTGCTGTATCGAGATGATCACCGCAGCATTGGACACCTTCAAGCTCCTGAACAGTTTCAGCCAATGCAATGAGGAGTCTGTCCTCGCTTGTGCAGTCAGGAGGCTTTTGTCCTTCCATGAGTTTGTCTGCATGCAGATTCGTATCCACGCTGGACTGCAAAATGCAAAAAAGCTGAGAGTCAGAAGTATCTGCTCAGGCTTTTCTTCGGGCCTTTTACTTTTTCAGTCCATCTTGCATTTGGCAAAATCTTTTCCCTGCTTTTACACAATTCAGCTGATAAGCGTCAAATACTGATTAAAAGAGGATTTCAGTTCTTGTGTACCTCCTTTTATGTTCGAAGCCGAAGCCCTGCTGGGTTGCTGTGTCCTTGGCAGTGAGCATTACTGCGTCCGGCTATCCCAGTTTACAGGCGCCAAGGCTGCATTTATCTGGCTGCCAGCAGTAAAACATGTTGCCAAGGCGACCCCTGGAGGCGTGGAAGGGAGAGACAAAAGAGGAGATTCACAGGAAGGCAGAGAGCTCTGTGCATCCCACGTCTGACGGTCTCCTGTCACTCATTTCACTGCTTGCATATCCGGCCAGTTAAAAAACGTCACACGGAGCCGGGAATCATTCAAAAGCACAGCAGGAAGTTACTGGAGTTCTCCCCTGTTGGTTTGAATGCATTCACATTCATAAATCATTTGTTTTCCTAACGCCACAAGCGTTGCTACAAATGCATTAGAATGTTGGGCAGCACCTAAACTATTTACAGGAGAAAAAGGTGGAGACAAACACAACCACAGAGTCGTTTTGTGGGTTTCCTGTGTGGGACTTACGATGTTACTTTGACATCAGTATTAAAACAAGTTTCTTGATCCTTATTTGGAATTAAAAGAATACTCAGCATCACTGTAAGAATGGGTTGGCATTCAATTCTAATCATGTTAACATAAAATAAACGAGTCCTATCAAAGTCCTTTGATCTTGTACTGCTATAATGTTCAATGGCATTGCACTCAGCATGCATTCAGTCCTAATCTAACAAAAGAAATCACGGGATATATCCTGGACAGGAGCTGGGAATCACCTCTTAACCTAACATTCCAAGTCTTAGGAAGGTGGTGGCAACGTGAAAGCATTTAAAATTTTCACGTCATTCTATAATAGATGTTACTAATAATAAATGACTATTATTCATCGTGTTGTTTAGAGCTGTGCGTTACCTGTTGCCGGGTCAGGCGTCCTCAGAGGCAGGTCGCAGTAATGTAGCACTGTGTCGCCATCATGTGGCCGATGCCACAAACTGCACGCATTTCCCTCCTATTAAGATCTTCATTACTTTAAATAAATAAATAAAAAGCCCAGAATTTATAAAAAACAAAGGAAAACATGAAAATGAAAATTATCTGAAAATTGTAAAAAAAAAAAAAAAAAAAAAAAAAAAGTAAAAGTGAAAGTAAATACATTTATTTATTTTTGAAATTTTATCTTTTCTTCTTAACTTTATCTTATAAGGGATTTTTAAACGCCATCATTAATCATGTTTTCTTGTAGTTTTTATACTTGAATGAAAATAAGCCGGAGCTTCGTTACTATTATTATTTTATCATCTATGCTGTTTTAAGTGAACGTGTTGGCAGCCAGCTTGCATTCCTGCCAGTGTTGAATGCATATCCCGGGGCTCCGGGATCAAGCCGGGACATGCAAGTATTCCCAACAAATACCTCTCAAGCCCCTCCACTTTGTATTCTTCCTCTTTATTTTTTTTTATGTGCCTCAGTTTCAACTTCTTAAAAACAGAAATGAGAAAAACTCGGTGACAGTTTAGTAATAAGCAGAGAGCAGCAGCCGATCATTAACACGATCGGAGCCTGCGGTGTTCAGTTTTACGAGCGGTCTGAGCGGAGGGAAGGTCACTGCTTGTTGGCAGTGTACTCGTGAAATGGGCGTGGAGTTGCGCTCAACAGTCGGAAACAGTCGAGTGTGTAAAACCAAGAAAGAAAGAAAAACTAAAGAAAAACAAAAGGAGTCAACAGAGACTCAGAGAGGTGCTAATATGAGAGAAAGCGGACGCAGCCGGTGCGCTAAGGTGAGCAGCTTTCCTCCTCTTTGTAAAGCAGAGCGTTTAGTGTAAAGTGTTGCGTTTATGGTTAGAAAAAAAAAAAGAAAAACCCAGAAACGTGGGAACCGAACTGAAAATAAATAAATAAATAAACAAAGTCCGTTTTAGTTTTTAATGCGCTCCCACAGGAAGTGTGGGTACAGATTTATACATGTTGCACTGCGTGTAACGAGAAGGCGGACTACCTCGCTCAGACCTGACGTGTTGCGTTATGTCGTAGTGGTGTGTAACGCACTTTGTGCGTGCGTGCGTGTGTGTCACAAAAAAGTCCTGAAAGTGTCGACACGTAGTCGCACGTGCGAGCCTCCGGTACCGCTCGCGCTCAGTGAAAGCATACTCCCGGCTCTTAACCTAAACGAAATTCCTCATATGTGGCTCTTATTTTTCTTAGAAACAAAAATAAGGTAAAAAAAATAAATCTGGTAATTCTTTCTTTTACATTCATCAGGTCCCAATCAGCCCAAATATCAAAGAGAAATTAAAAATGAATGCCGTGGAAGAGTTCGGGTCTTAGGAGGTTAATACGGACAGCTGAGTGTTACATTTTACTAGCTTTATCTTCGTCTACTAAAAAACCAAAAAACACACCGCTGAAACAGTGAAGGTGACAGCAGAGGCTGGTTAAAACATGGTAAAGGTTTGCGGGTATTTTCTGTGTGAAAACAGGAAGGGTTTGAGATTTTGGACGATGATTTGGACTTTGTTCAAAGTGGGCTGGCTGAGAGGATGTGCACATATTATGAGGTAGGTTGTGTGTGCATGCATGGGCGTGCGTCCTCTCTGACTCACTGCCTGCACTGTATAACCATACCTGTGGTGTGGGTGAAGTTGCTGGCTTGTGGGTGACACACACACCCACACAGACATACAACCATCTTGTGTTGGCAGCCATTTATTTTGTAGACACCCCCGCAAAAAAGTATAACTCTATTATGTCTACACAGCTTCGTGTGCCTTTGTGGCATGTGTGAGCTGTTTGTCTGTCTGCTGAACTTCTCCTTTTTTTTTTTTGCCCTTTGCTATTGATCTGCACACCCTGATCTAACGTTCCACACTCCGGGCAGCAGCTGTGGATCAAAACTCCCATATCCTGCCTGTAATAATGTTTGCTTGCTTAACTGCGTGTGTGTGTGCCTTTTTATAGGTTGAAGTTTGTGTGTGGATGTGGAGCAGGTCAGATTAAATGTGCTGGCAAGCTTCACAGAGTGCGAGCCACTACAGATCCCTGGGTGGTGCTGAGGCTTCCCAGTCCTCAGAAGGGCTACTCCACAGACTCTATCAATCCCCGTTATGAGGACAATACAGTCAAATATGATGTGGGACTGTGGAACAGTGGACTGCGTCACTGCCTGCATCCTCTCTGCTGATATCACACCAGAGGCTCATATCCCTCTCGTGATAAAAGCGATAAGAGAATCAGTTTCCGTTTGTGTTAATTTCATCAGCGTCTTGTTTTATAAATGACAAACACATGCAGTAACCCCCCCACACACACACACACAAAAGCCTGTTTACTTAAAAGCAGAAGTAACACTTCAGGTTGCCTGTGTGCTGCCGAGTTGCAACTCAAGAAGAGAAGTAGTCATGACAAGAGGTTGTTGATGTATCTTCCTGTGTGTGTTTGTGTGCAAGATAGAGAACTAGCAGTGAGAGACCAGTTGTGCCACTTAGTTCATCAGCCCTTCACTCTTAAGACTTGCTGATGTCAGGATGCAGACGCTTAAAAGTAGCCCGCCATTAGAAGGGTTATGATATGTTGGCTTTGAGCTGTGGTGCCTGGATTCTTAAACACAGTTGAGGTAAGTGCTCTGTAAAGGCTGTGCCATAGGGCCAGGCTGTGACGGTGTACAGTGTTTCCTCATAGCTCTTGCTGTTTCCTGCTGCTTCATCCAGGAGTATTGCAGATGTGTTTCGTGTTATTTTGGCTGCATATATGTATTCTCACAGTGACTTTAAAGAAGATATATTTAGTCACCTTTATCGCTTGTTAAGGCGGTCAGTGCCACCCTCAGAAGATCAAAAACTCCCACGGTCATCTTTTAGTTAAGTTTTTTGTGTATCCAGGTCGGATACAGGGTGAGGTTCACAGAGGGCCCATTGCTTTGTTTAGTTGTGCAATGATTTTTTTATATGCTTCTGTGCAGCTATTTTTGTACCTCTCTTGTTGCCGTCATTTGCTTTTATTTTGAGTTTGCATTGGCCCCAAAAACCCCACCATACGTAAAGGAGGATCTGACTACAACAATAATGTGAGCAATATGTAGAGAAATATCATCATATCCAGAGAAATTTATTGTAACTCACTTCAGGGACCACATTAATGGGGAAGTGAAAATCTGATATCGTGAAATTCAGTTGTAATTGATTTGGAGGGTAAGATTGATGGCCGGCCACTCTATCATTAGCTGTTTTTTGTTGTGAGGCGATTGTTTTGGTTATTTTATTGTTTTATTTCGCAGTTTTAGCCGTCTCCGTCTTTGAAAATTCACCTTGGTAAATAACTATAAAGCACAACTGAAAGCGCGAAGTTAAAGGAACTGATAGTTAGATTGGTGCATATTACATGTGATCTTGCACTATTTTCTGTAAATGGCGATTGAAAATCATTTCTCTGTGCAGAGCAGACGCGCGTGTCTTCGCAAATATTTAATTTCCGGTTGCAAAATTGCCTGACCTTATTGATCTTTTAATCTAATTCTCAATAAGAAGTGAGTGCTAGTATCTTTCAAAATATTGATCTCTTTCTTAAACTGGGTCACGTTTCCATAGCCAGAATTGTTTAACACCATCAAACTGAACACTTAAAAAATTCTCTGTAAGTTCAATCCGTTATAGGTTTGGGAAATTGCAGCTTGTCGCAAAGAACCTAACTCTATATGTTAAATACTGTATGAGT